ATGTTTATCTAAAACATTTAGGAACTATTCAGATCATTTTATACAGTCCGCACTTAACATAACCATTTTCTTCACAGACCTCTCATGACAAACACAGAAAATAACCCTTCCTCCAGAAGGCCCTGTCTCTCCCATGGTCTAGACCAGTGTTCCCTCTAAGCTGTGGGGCAGCACAGCTTCACAGGTGATTAATCAGCCCCACCCAATCAGTCAGCTCAGTGCACAGAGCTCTGAGCCTCTGACTGGGTAGTGCTGATTATTAACCTGTGAAGCTGTGCTGCCCCACAGCTTAGAGGGAACACTGGTCTCGAGTACTCTGTTGCCATGAGATTCATTCCTCCATGCACATCTGTGGGTAGCTCCTTCTGCTGCTTGTGAGTAGGGTGGGCCCAAACTGAAGCACACCATTTCCCCCAGTCAAATTCTGGGGGCAGACAGTCAGCTGGCTGCCTTCTTACTTATCCAACAAGAGAACAACATAATCTTTCAGTCCCAGCTACTGTCATTGCACACTAGTATGGTCACATGCTGGGTTGGCAAAGCCTAGGCTATGCAAGGCTGCTATATTAAACAGGCCATTCTCACAACATCATTTAATTTTAGGGCAAATAGTGCCATCAATTATAAAAGCACAGGGGCCCAGATCCACAAAGGGACTTAGATTGACTTAAGATTGTAGTGTAGACATGCCCCATGTTAGCTCGACTTTCACCCACCACAGTAACTGCTGCACTGGTTAATGTCCACACTACTCTCCTTCTGTCTGTGGTGTGTGTCTTCACAAGGAGTACTTCTACTGACTAAACGGGGCAACGTGGGGAGCTGAGAGCCAGGGCTGTTAACTCCACACAGCCACCCACTGGGAGCCCAGCTGCCCCCCAGGACCGGGCTTCTCACCTCAAGCAGGGAGATTCACACCCAGAGTCTTGACAGCTGCAATGCACCCAGTGGGGAACCAAGAGCTTGGAAGGGCAGCCAAACTCCAGCAGGGAGTGAGGAGTCCAGGCAGCAGCCCAAACTGGGAGCCTGGGTCATAAGCCAGCTTGCAGCAGAGACTAAGTGGAGCCCTGACATTGACAAGACAACTGAGGATGGAGGATATGCAATATCTACATAGAAACTATGTTGCACTAACTACACTGACAAAGGAGCTTCACTGACAAAAGCATTATGCCTCTGGCGGTTTGGCTGTGAAGATATTATGTTGATGTAGTAGGACTCTTAGGGCTTTCCAGAGGATGAATGTTCCGGCGGTTGAATTCCTGGGGTTCAGTTTAGTGGGTCTAGTAAAGACCTGCTAAATGGGATGCTAAAGGCTCCTCCATCCACTACACTACTCCTCAGAGTCGCAAAGAGTAAGGGAGGCCAACAGGAGCATTTCTTCCATTGACCTGCTACTGTGGGGCCACCCCAGAAAATCAATGTAAGTTAAGTCGACTCTAGCTATGCAGTTGTTGTAGCTGGAATTGCATATCTCACATTCATTTTCTCCGACAGTGTACATGGCCTTATATGGGTGGGAGCAAAGCTATACTTTGTACACTGACATAGTTAGGTCAATATAAGCTGCCTTACATCGACCTGTGGACTGCAGATCAGGCCTTTAGCATGACAATGCGGATTATCACAAAGCCTAACCTCTAGGCACTAGTAAAACCATCAGGTATGTTCAGCAGCAACCTACCCAATTAGGCCCCATGGATGAAATAGGCATTCCCTGATTTATGGATCACATCCCAGTGGAAAGGGGTTGTTCTGGAGCTAAGGTCTCGTGCAATAGGCAGTCCTGACAGACTGCAGTGTTTTGCAGAAATACCACATTACAATAATGACCAGATTTCAAACAGCTCTGACCCAGGCCCCTAAGTGAAGTGGCTAGATGTTCAAAGGCATTTTGCCTGCAGTGGTTTCCATTGTTCCCATCAGAGACTGCTGGGCCATGAGTGCTCTTTAAAATCTGGCCACTAGGTGTCCAAATGAGAACTGAGCTCTCTTGTAAACCTGGTCCGAGTGCCTCAACTGAGGTTTGTAGGGGGCCAATCTCCCCTGGAGATGTTAATTAGTGGACGTAGGATTTGGGCCCTTTCAAAACTTCTCTCATGTTTTTTCACATTATTTTGTATTTTAAAAAAGTTGAAAACTCTCTAGTGACTAGATGCCTTCTGCCTATGTCGCAAGAAGTATTTTAATCCATTAAAAAAATAGGAAAGGTTATTTTAATAGCAAGTTAATTTCTTCAGTTTGGCCAATGAGACCAAAACACAGGAACCAGAGGGGTGAGGAGGTGATATTAACTTAACCTTTTTACATATTAAAATGGATTACAACCTCTGACCGCTCAGGAATGCAAAGGAGTTGCTATGAGCTTTACAAAAAGGATTGTAGTCTGACTCATAGTTTTCCTGAATGCCCACTTACAAAGATTTTTAATCAAGCAGCTTTAAAAGCACCTCTTTCATTTGATCTACACTGGCACTTCCTATCTCAGGGTATGTCTACACTCCCCCCCTAGTTCGAACTAGGGGGGTAATGTAGTCATACGGAGTTGCAAATGAAGCCCGGGATTTGAATTTCCCGGGCTTCATTTGCATAAATCCGGCTGGGGGCATTTTTAAATGCCGGCTAGGTCGGCCCCCGTGCCGCGTGGCTCCACGCGGCATGGACTAGCTAGTTCGGATTAGGCTTCCTAATCCGAACTAGCTAGTCCATGCCGCGTGGAGCCACGCGGCACGGGGGCCGACCTAGCCGGCATTTAAAAATGCCCCCAGCCGGATTTATGCAAATGAAGCCCGGGATTTGAATTTCCCGGGCTTCATTTGCAACTCCGTATGACTACATTCCCCCCCTAGTTCAAACTAGGGGGGTAGTGTAGACATACCCTCAGTGCTAAGTGCATGACATCATACAATCTTCATAGTCTCCTTCTCTCTATTCTTTCCTACATTATATTTGGTACAGTCATTTTAAAATTAAATACATATGACCAGCAGCCAAGTACCTCCCACTGTGTGAAGGCTCTAAAGGCAGGCAAATAGAGTTCTGAGCCTATTGAGCTACTACAATGCAGACAAGCTGTCCTCGCACTGATAAATACTATTCTTTAACCTACACAGCTATTTTTCAGAGTGGTTCTTCCTGAGTCTCTGATCTTCAGCAACCGCCTCTTGTTTATATTACCATTGCTACTTCCGATATCATCCCGTATTGCATTTTGGGGTTTGGTTACAGGCAAAATGAATTAGCGCTTTCTTCAGCACAGCTGCAAACTATTAACAAAATGGCTGGTGTCCTACTAATAACATGCTCACCAACCTGTCACTTGGCCACATGGCTCATTAACTATCCGACAAAACCAGGAGGTGGCTGTGTAATTCCAGCACTGAATGATCTGCATAGGAATTGCTTTATATGCATTCTTCCCCTACCAGTTTGTGCCATACTGACCAGATATGGCTGAAAGCAATCTCTCCCCTATTCACCAATGTGATGTACTTCAGGCTATAAAATTCAGAAGAGGTTTGACACTCCCAAGAGTGCCAATGTAGACACAGCCGAGAGGAATAAGGGATCTTCTGGAAAAGGCTTTATTTTCCGAAAGATCCCGTCTAGACTGGCGCTTTTCTCCAGCAAAGCCCCGAGCCGGAAAAAAGTGGCAGCCATGTTCATGCAAATGCCGCGGGGGATATTTAAAACCCCCGCGGCATTTGCAATTCCGACTTGTCTCATTAGCATCCCTTTTCCGGAAAAGGGTGCCAATGTAGACACAGCCTATGACTTTTGCCAGAAGAGGCAATGCAAATGAAATGCGGATTAGCATTTTCTCATGCTTCATTTGCATAACCTCTTCAGATCCGTTTTTGCGCAAGGGGTTTTTGCGCAAAAACAAGCAGTGTGGACGTTTCCTTTTTGTGCAAAAACCCATTTTGTGCAAGATCTTCATACCTCCTTTTTTGAGACATAAGGCATAACTCTTGATGAGTTCTCCCATTACTGCTAAAGGTATATGGTTAATTTACCACATACAATAGAAAAGGTAATGTATTCAAAACTGCTGTGAAATATATGTCAATTTGCATCCACGCTTCAAGTTTGAGAAGTGACAGATTCCTTTAATAAAACTAGTTATTAAATAACCTATCCTCTTCCATAGAACATACAAACCTGAACAAATTAAGCCCCACAACACCTCTTACGCATCTGATAAGTATATGGCCCTGTTTTATGGAGAAGAAAACAAGGGCACAGAAATAATAATGAACCTGACTGTGAACATTAGTCTAATGGCACATCTGTGGCAGCAGAGCTAGAATTAGAATTCAGTAGTTCCTTGGGCCGACTCTAGCTCTCAGTTCATTAAGCTATACTATCCCATCACTTAGAAAGAGCAGGACAAGTTTTGTTATGAATTCATAATTCAGAATATGATCTCACAAGCACCATAATGTAGCTACTTAACCTATGAAATAATTAGCTTAGAACACTAAACTTTCCAAATTTATTTAATACTAGCACTTTAACTGGTACTGCAAAATAGGATGATGTTCACTTAGTATGATTAGGATATCAACATTGATAGGCCAGTGTCCCTATCCCATGAATTTCAGCAGCCTATGTAACAGCAGCAAAGCCAATACAGTAATGCTTTCAGTAGTAATCAATCCAGCATAGAAGAGATGAAAAAGTTACAATGACTCCAACACTCAGCCAGTTCACAAAATCTTTTATAAAGACGGTCTGACACATGTTTCTACCACCATATATTAGTTTTAACAAAAGATGAATGATATACTGTGGCATATTCAGAGTACATTCTGGGGCTGGGAATGATCTGTTGATAATATCTGTTGATAATCTGTTGATAATATCTTTCAGATAGCTAGGAGCAAATGAACCTTCATGTCATTCATGCAATCTATGATCCACTTAATATGCCTATGTTTTTAAATGCTCATTTTACTGTAGTTTTTGCCTGACTATCTGATATTTTTCTTACCTGACAGGTGGGGGATCAAATAATTGAAATCAATGGGGAAAGTACAAGGGACATGACACATGCCAGAGCAATAGAGCTAATCAAGTCTGGTGGCAGGAGAGTGCGGCTCTTGTTAAAGCGCGGAACAGGCCAGGTCCCGGAATATGGTGGGTTTTCATTTTTTTTCCATTAGTGTGTGTGTGTGTGTATTTAAATTACATGTATTGTATACTAAATATCAGTTACACATTTCAGTCCCAACACTTAAGCACATACTTAAGCACTTTTCTGAATATGGGTAGATTTATGCACAAGCTTAAGTGTTTTCTTATAATGGGGCAGAAAATATGACTACATCAGTTGCAACTATGCCAACCCTGTACCAGCAATGCTTAAAGTATATCTTTTGGCAGGATCACTTTGAACTCATTAGTGGCATCTTTGAGTGTGCTAGGAGTGGCTCATGCATCCTTATAATCTTGGTTCATAAGATGGTCCTTTTTAATACATGTCTATTGGTATTTCTCTGTACATTTGGAGTCATGTGGCTGATCCCACTCCCATCAATTCAATGGCAAAACTCCCACTGATTTCAGTTGTGCACAACTTAACGTATAGTGTTCATTTTGAAATTTATTTCTTTCATTTAGTTACATAGGCAACATAATGAAAGTCAGTTCTGAATAAAGAGACAGCATTTGCTCTTTTGAATATTGTAACACAACCCTGTAATCTTACATTTTGTTTTGTGTCTCTAATTCCTGGGAATTTTTATGTTCCAATTTTTAAAAAAAGCTTCTAAAAAGCGTGTCTAATTTCAGGCAATATTGAAATATATTAGTTATCTGACAGATTTCAATGGTGTCTGTTTTGTAAGTTTGTTCTCATGAATATCTTGAAATGTAACCAATATATCAATAGATGTTTAGCCCCAAATCCTGCAAATGTTTACTCATTCTTAAATTTTCCACCATGAAAAATAATATAGGTCTACTCAGATTAGCTAAATTAAGCCTGTGCATAAGTACTTGTAGGATTTGGATCCTTATAGCGCATTTAAAAATAATGTTATTTCCCTCTCATCTATAGAAATTCTTCTGACATTATTACCACCAATATTTATATATGGTAAGAACTGTTACATAAAATACAGAAAAAAAGAAAAACTACAGACTTATATAGACCTTCTAATAAAATCCCAGAGCTCTAAGAAAATAAATAAGAAGATAGTCACTAAGTAAAGTTTAGTATTACAATCAGTCAATGGGAACTAGACTTCTATGTACCCAAATTCCTTTTGAAAATGAGATTTAGGCTCTGAAATAGGTTAAGCATTGTCACATTGAGTACAGCATCCCCTGAATGCCTTTAAATATTTGGGACAAATGTATTAAAATAGTCTCCAAATAAAAAATAATACAGTAAAATCGCTGATAAAAGGAGTAAATCAATTCCCACCACTTAGTAACGAGCTCTGCAAGGGGTGAATTACCTCTGATGATAAAGCTTCTCTGGGTAAAGAAGTGGGGAAGCCCAAAAAAGAAAAATACCATTTATCATTGCTGTTATGTTTTTCCATGGGGACCAACTAGTGTTTGTTTTTAGAAATCCACATAAGAAGGTGTCACCGTGTCCTTGTGATGCTAGACTCATAGCCCTAAAAACTACCATAGAACACAGGAATTCCTGGTATTCCATCTATATCCTGTCTCCAGTCTCTTCTGATTGGAGTTTTACTTTATACAGAGTTACTTGAAAATAGATTAGCATGAACAAGCATCTGAGACGGTTGGCCTTTTTAATTGCTGAATAATTATAAACACTGAAAAATGGTGATTTGCCGAAAATAGAATAATCTGAAATTCACCTGTCAGTATTTCTCTGTCAATGATGTTGCTCCAATAATTAGATTATATTGCCAGTGAATTATAGACTATTTAATGGTTTGTTTTCTTACTTCTAAGCAGTCACTCAGCAGACACTGGGATTTTACATTGCTTTTTACTCTGTATTGTATATTCGAATTCTAGTAATGTAATTGTAATGTAATCACAGCTTTATCCCTCACTATGGCAATAGCTAGCCCTATGGACAGCACAGAGCTCCACTGAACTCAACGGGCGTTGGTGCACCTTCATGTCATTGCAGGATTGGGGTTTACATCACAATTATTTATTGCAGTGTGTTCACTGCAATAGATTTTAATATTTTTTAAAGTTTTTTCTCCTATCTAACCTACATCTTCTTTGCTATAGACTGTGTCTATTACATCTTGTTCTACCTTCAGTGGACATGGATATCAGTTGATAACTGTCCCCCTCAGGCTAGCCCAGAAGCTGCAGGGTTGTTGCATGTTTTTAAACTTTCACTCTACTGAATTCTAACAGTAAGCAAAGCTATATGAAAAAAAACTGTAGGATGCAGGACATATAGTCAGTCCGGTTCAGTATTGAGTCTATGGGAGTCTTTCCATTGTCTTCTCTGTAAGATGGATTAGGCCCTGAATGACTTAAAATGGCTGTCCAACCATTTAAAACACAAAATATATAGTTTAAACAATTTATGCCACCTGAAATTTAATTTAAGTTTCTGAGTTCCACGATTATATGTTCTTTGCAAAGTAGGTCAATTTTTCACCTAATCTCCATGCTTAGGATGCATTGTGCAGCATATCCTAGTTACACTTAATCAGGAGTTGGAGTTCGGTGCTTACTTTAAAAAAAGATGTCTTTATTTACAAAAAAAAAATATTATGTTACTGAAATGTAATACTATCGTATGTTCATTGTCCTGGAAGATTACATTTAAAAATACAGGGTAGAGTAAAGATTAAACTTGTTAAAAAGTTTCTCTTTCAAAATATGTAGCTATATTAAAAGAAAATGGTTTGGGGATGGGGTGCCTGGAGTTGGCAGGGTTTTGTTTGTGATGGGTTGAGAGTGTGGATTTATGTGTTCTTTTAAATACTATGTAAGTATGTAGGAGGTCAGAAAGGTAGACACTTTTTGATAGTCATATAATGTAATTATCACATTTTAAATTAAAAGTTAAATTTATCCTTTATATTTTGTGGTGTCACTCCCATTAATATCAGCTCAAGTCTCCCAGCTACTGCCCCTTCCTCTTCTGGAAACATTAGAGTTAGTATCTGTCCAACATCAGAAGTTCATAGTGAGAAAACTTTACCTTAGTGTCTCACCTAGTAAAGGTATCAGGGCACATTATGGTTATGGTTGGTCAGAGAAGGAATTTTAGTTTATGTTATTTCTTCCCTTGGACCTATTTTTCTCTACAAAGCAGGGCTTTATAAGCAGAGCTAAACCACATCTCTTAGGGTATGTCTACACTTGCACCCTCATTTGAACTGGGGATGCAAATGTAGGCATTCGAAATAGTCAATGAAGCGGGGATTTAAATATCCCGCACTTCATTAGCATGATCTCGCTGGCGCGTTACTCCGATCAACAGCTGTTTCAAAAGTGAAAATGCGCGCCAGGACATGCTAGTTCGAACCAAACCCCTTGGTTCGAACTAACATTATTCCTCCAAAAAATGAGGAGTAACGTTAGTTCAAACCAAGGGGTTTGGTTCGAACTAGCATGTCCTGGCGCGCATTTTCACTTTTGAAACAGCTGTTGATCGGAGTAACGCGCCAGCGAGATCATGCTAATGAAGTGCGGGATATTTAAACCCCCGCTTCATTGACTATTTCGAATGCCTACATTTGCATCCCTAGTTCAAACGAGGGTGTAAGTGTAGACATACCCTTAGTGACTTATTTTCTGCTCTTTATTGACACTACAGCCCTACTGATGTGCTGTGTCATTATTTATCTAGAGACCATCTAGTAGCACAGTATTTATATTATCTTTCCAAGGAGATGGCCATCCCTTCCATGTTGTGAGTTAGCTGAATCCTCTCTCTGGTTTCCTTCAGCCACTGATTAGAGATACTGGAGCACAACAGTCTTTTTTCCTTCATGTCTGCAGGCAGTTAGTTGCCTATTTCATCTGCAATTAGCATTATAAACATAATTATACATACAAAGTAATAAATGAAGCATCACTATTTTCAAAGTCAAATATTTTTCTTTCATAGGTCCTATTTCCCCAGCTTTAGCAATACTATTTTTCCAGTTTCCAACACGATTGTATCTCTGGCCAGAACTTCTAACCCCCTTCCTTCTTTCCAGTTACTTATTGCTACCTAGATATCTCATTCCTAGTTGTTAATCATTATGAGAGAAAAGAAAATATTTAGTGAACAAACTACCAGGTCCAATGCATTTCTTAAAGCAACCTTCATTGATACTCTCTATATATAGTTTTTCATGAGTATTTTAATTTACAGGTAGTGTTCAGGGCTTATTACCAGTTGTAATTCATGAATTCACACAAAAATGTTTTTTTCCTGATATGACTTTAAAAACCGAGTTTGAGGGTTTATGAAAAGTAGGTTGCATTTTTAGACATCTATCCTGCCAAACGTAACATCATAATATGCTTGAAAGTGGGACTTGCGTGCCTCAATCTTTGCAGAATTGGGGCCTTTTCTTATTTAAGGGATGGAGATTTTTGCAATTTAGTTAAAATGTGACGTTTCAGAACACTCAAATACTATGATTAGCAGTGATTCATTTTTCAAGAAGCCTTGAAGATGCTCAGCTGTTTCAGTTTTAGCACAGCCACAGTGACTATCACTGAAAATGACAGAGCTAATACCAATACAGACTTTTCATATGAAGGAATTTGCTTTACGATTTTGAAATTCAATAAAACTCTTCAATTCTATGAGTTACAGCTCCTTTAAAAAGCACCTCAAGATGTCTTCCACAGTACAGCAGAATCTGTTTCGCAAATATATATGTATAGTACCTCAATCTTTTACTAATATGAAGACTTACTGCATGCTTGTTAGTCTTGACTTTACAGAAAATCTTTTTCCTATTGTTTATAAGCTTTTTACTCAGCTGTCCTAAACTTACTAAGCATTCTTTGTTCTAACAATAGTAATATATCTTTATGTCACTGGTTCTGTTAATTCTAATGATTGGTCCTAGGCTGTTCCTCCCCTTCCTTTAGGAATGGTACCTTCCAGTCTCTCCATGTGCATGAAAAGTGACAAGCATGGGTCCCCATATTTCTACTTATTGGGCCACCCTAAAGAC